AGGAGTTGGAGGTTGCTGTGAGCTGTAATGCCATGGCACTCTGCCCAGGGGGACAGCTTGAGGCTCTGTCTCAAAAAAAAAAAAAAAAAATTGGAACTCTCATGTGTTCCTGATGAGAACACAAAATTGTGCAGCTGCTTTGAAAAACAGGTTGACAGCTCCCAAAAAGTTAATTATAGAATTACCACTTAACTCACAATTCTACTTCTAGGTATAAATTTAAGAGAACTGAAAGCATAGGTTTACACAAAAACTTGCGCATTGTGTTATAACAGCATTATTTATAAAAGCTAAAAGGTGGAAACCACCCAAATGTCCATCAGCTGAGGAACTGGTAAACAAAATGTGGCATAGTCATAGTATGGAATACAACACAATGGAATATTACTCAGCTGTGAAGAGAAGTGAAGTACTGATGCGTGCTATGACATGGGTAAACCTTGCAAAAATTATTCTAAGTCAAAGAAGGTAGTTACAAAAGGCCACACATTACATGATTTTATTTATGTGACATGTTCAAAATAGGCAAATCTATAAAGACAGAAGGTTAGGACTTGCCCAGGCTGGAGAAGTAGGAAATAGGGAATGACACTAATGGGTATAGTGGGGTGAGGTGAGGGGGTTCATGCTTGTAATCCCAGCACTCTAGGAGGTCGAGGTGAGCAGATTGCTTGAGCTCAGGAGTTCAAGACCAGCCTGAGCGAGAGAGAGACCCTATCTGTAAAACTAGATAGGCATTGTAGTGGGTGCCTCTAGTACTAGCTACTCGGGAGACTGAGGCAAGAGAATCACTTAAGCCCAAGAGTTTGAGGTTGCTATGAGTTGTGACGCCACAGTACTCTATCTGGACAACAGCTTGAGGTTCTGTCTCAAAAAAAAAAAAAAAATATATATATATATATATATAAATGGCTAAAATGGTAAATTTTATGTTATATATATTTAATCACAATTATTAAACATAAATATATGTATATTTTGAGAAGAGCCTCAAGCTGTCACCCTGGGTAGAGTGCTGTGGCATCACAGCTCACAGCAACGTCAAACTCCTGGGCTTAAGCAATTTGGTTGCAGTTGTTTTTGTCGTTTAGTTGGCCGGGGCCGGGTTGGAACCCACCAGCCTTGGTGTATGTGGCTGGCATCCTACCCACTGAGCTACAGGCACCGAGCCTTGAGTCTATTTACAGACCTTAATAGAAATAAATTTGAAAACCTGAAAGAAATGGATAATTCCTAGGGAAATAGAGATTAACAAATTTTACCCCATTAGAGCTAAAGCATTTTTTTTTTAGGCTTGCCAAGTGACACAGTGGGAGTAGAAAATGACCAGAGGAATCTATAACTGGTTGTGATCAATTAGCTGTAAACACCACTGCAATCAGACCAGCCTAGAGTTAAAACTTTTTTTTTTCTTTTTTGAGACAGAGTCTTGCTCTATCACCAAGGTTAGAATGCTGTAGCATCATACCTCACAGCAACTTCAAACTCTTGGGCTTAAGCAATCCTCTTGCCTTAGTAACTGGGACTAGAGGTGCCCTCCACAATGCCTGATTAGTTTTTTTTCCTATATTTTTCTATTTTTAGTAGCAATGAGGTCTTGTTCTTGCTGAGGCTAGTCTTAAACTCCAGCTCAAGCAATCTACCTGCCTCAGCCTTCCAAAGTGCTAGGAACAGGTGTGAGCCAGCTAAGTTAAAACTCTTTTTTTTTTGGAAACAGAGCCTCAAGCTTTTCCCCTGGGTAGAATGCTGTGGCATCACAGCTTACAGCAACCTCCAACTCCTGGGCTCAAGCGAGTCTCCTGCCTCAGCCTCCCAAGTAGCTGGGACCACAGG